TAAAACATTGAATGTTCGAATTTGCATTGGTATAAGTCTAATAGTTGTATTTGTTGCAGTGTTTTGTTCTAAAAAAAAATTAGAAAAATAGTTTCATTAAAAATAATCTATTTATTAAACAACATACCTGGAACAAACATGTGAGATGATTCTTGTTCACTAGATAACCATGTAAGTCTTTTTAGGTCCGATAATGGTAAATTTGCAGTAAGTATCAATTCAGTAAATTCACTAATTTGTCCTATTGATTTGAATAGTGATTGTAGATCAAATGTCACTGGATGTGAATATGTCTCATCTTCATTCAACTCAAAATAATGTTCAACACGAATTCGATAGATTTGTGGTGCTAATTGTTCGAATGTTAATAAATGCATATTTAATGGTAATGTGTCAGTTAATGCTGACCATGTTTGACGATAAGCAGCTGCATAACTATCATAAGTTTGTGGAATTATTGCAAATGTTGCAAGTGGATGCATATATAAGCTTTGAGAAGCAACTCGATGATAGAGAGCACTTGCAGCAGGTGGTTGAATGAAAAGAATGTGTTTACCACGTACAACAAGTCCTTCACCATATGCAGTTTCATTTAAGATTTCACCAACATCAAGACCATCATCGTAGAAAAGTCGACGATGAATCATAAGTTCGACTGAACCATCAGCAATACTAGCACCACCTTGTGTACGATCTATGAAGATATAAAATGATTAAGAATACATTTTATGCTCAAAAACATAATTATAATCGAACAAGGATATTAAACATATCTATTTTCTATTCTTTATAATAGTACATCTCTTCACTCTAATATCAAAAGTATTTCTCAATTATTTTCTCTCTTTATTATATCCTTACCAGTGAGAACAGTAAATTGTTGATCTTCATCTTTTATCCATATTCGACTATTCACTGGATAATAGTTTCCACTCACTGTTTCAACAGCTGTATAGTTCCATGTTGGTCGATAATCTCTTTTTCGTTCAAGCACTTCACGACCATTAGCATCGGTATAATATTTCGATTGACTTTGAATATCAGTGTCATATCGTAGAATTATTTCTTTGCCGATATTATCATTAATAGGAATGGGTCCAACTGTCCATTCAACTTCAACATGTTCACCACCATCATACAAGCTGATTTCTTGACTTGCCCAATTATTAAAAGTGACTATTGCTGTTTGAACACTTTCTGCTTTTATACATATTCTGAAATAATATTACATATTAGAAAAGAAAATAGATGATAGATCTATTTACATTGATCGTGTAGTGCTGGCTGGTTGTGGATCAGATGAAAGTGGGCGAAAAATATAAGCACCTGATGGTTGAAATTCTGGTCGAGAATTATTACCAGCAAAACCTAATATACAACAAAAACTAATAAATTATACATCAAAATCTTCATTATCAACATACCCTGGTACCAATAAAAACCTTGACTCTTGAATTGTACACCAGTATTCTTATCTAAATTAACAATTTGATGTAGGTTACCTTGATCATCAAAATCCACTCGCAGATGCTAAAAATAATATAAAAATAACAATATTCAAAAAATATTTATAATCTAGCTTGTCCTACTTGATTTTTTAAAGTACATTCTTCATTATGTGTAATTTTCACAGTAGATTTTTCATTCTTTTCTTGATCAGCTATGAAGACAAACAAGAGTTTTTTTCTAAGAACTATTAAATAAATACTACAAAGAACTCACGTTTCTTTTCAAAATAATAAGTATTAAAACCAAGAGCTGGTAATGTAACTTTAAAGATAATTTGTTTTTGTGTTAGACTTGTACGACC